TTTCAGCTCACAGTTACTATGTGAGCTACATTGTGTTAAGTAAGCTCACAGCCACAATTATTTTTCAAATATAGCCACCAAATGTTCTCCAAAGTGTTTCATGCAGCAAACAGAGCATGAACAAAGTGCAAACTTAATGATAAAAAAAAACTGAGAGAATATATCTTAACAACACGACCAATCACATCTATTCAATCTCTATTATAATAAACCAAAAAGTAAATAAAAGAAACTTATCAATCAAATAGAGTAAGTAAACAAAAAAACTCAAGAAAAAAAAATCTTACAAATAAACTCTTTCTCATTACATGGTAGGTTACCTTTCAAACTGGGAAAGGTCCTTAGACTGTACATGTGCCATGGAAACTTCTCTAAATTTAATTCTTTCAATAATGTTTCATGGTTGAATTTTGACATGTATGGGTGCAAGTTAGTCTTGTAGGTATAAAACTTTTGTAATGACAAAGAAATTTTGACACCATAAACCTTTTGTTCTACAAATTTGCTACATAGTAGAAAAGATAGCATTGATTTTTGTTTTGATTATGAGAATGACTTTGGTTATTTCGGTCAATTATGAGAAGGATAATATTTTTTTGATTATTAAACAAAAACCGACTGATGCTCACCCCTGTCAAAAAGATTAAGGACTTAAAATTATTCAAATAATCTAGCAAGGAGTAACTAATGTTTATATTTTTTACAATATTAATGCATTATAATATTATTTCTCTATTCTTAGAGGGGCATTCAATTCAAATATTGGAATAGGAATGATAATAATAATATTTTTTTAAACACTAATGATTGTTAAATATGTAAATGTATATGCGTAGGTCTTTACATATAAGTATTATGGATAGAAGTTGGATGTATCAAAGACGAACTCAACGTGGTGATTTTAATCCAGATTTTATAAAAAGATTAGAAACATTTATTGAGTTTGCATGTAGTAAACTAGATTTCAGGGATGGAATTAGGTAAGAGAAATAGACGTGGCAGTGTTTTAGATGGAGTTGCTCAATCTACGCATACCACATGATCAACACCTCATTCCAAAGTTGTCACTGAACTTGTAAGTTCATTCGAATTCTTTAAATTATAAGTGATTATGTTAGGATTATTTGAATTGTGCGTTATTGTGTTGCTAGAAACTTTTATTGATATTATTACGAAGAACTTCTTGTGATTTTATTTTAATGTACCTATTGAGTTGATGTTTGAGATATTTATATTATATATTAAGCAGGGAGATAGTTTTATTTATACAGAAAACTATGTTGATTTTTTATTTGAATTTTGTTTGCTTTATATAATAATTATGTGCTATTATGTTGGTAGAAATTTGTATTGACACTATTATGATAAAATCATTGTGATTTAATTTTATTGTGTCTATTGAGTCTGAATATTTTTTCTAAATTTTTTTCATTTTAAAATAATAATTATGTATTTTTATGTTGGTAGAAACTTTTATTGACACTATTGTGATAAAAACAGTGTGATTATATTATATTCTGCTTATTGAGTTGATGTTTGAAATATTTTTATTAATATTATAATCTTATTTGTTTTACTTTTTATTTTATTGTGTTTCTATTTTAACTAATTTTTAGGAAAAATAATTTTGTCGTCGTCTATCATATTTTGAATTATTCAAGCATACACATACCAAAAAACATGATGGCCAAAGTTGAAAAAGACAAACAAATCCATGTAAGTTTATTTATTTTTATTTTCTTTGAATTTATATGAATTTTTATAAAAATTGTACTAGTTTTTAAATTTTTGCAGAAACAAATTGCATTGCAACGGGAGGTATTAACACAGAATGGAGAAGAAGTAGATGAGAGTCAATAATACTATGATGCAGCAGACATGATAAAAAAAGAAGAGTTTATGGACTTGGCTCATATATATGGTACATTCATTCGTAGTCCAATAAATGCTAACACATCGGACAATATAGAATCAACCCCCTCGCAGCCATCAGAGAATGCTAATTCTGCAAAGGTCCTAGATGAGATTGAGAATTTAAAGGCTTCTATGGTTCTTATGCAGCAAAGATTAAATGCTCTTGAGAGTGAGAAAGCCGGTACTTCATCATCACCCTCATCACGACCGAATTCACCTTGATTTGATTTTTCTTTTATGAATTACTATATTGTTGTTTATACATCACTTTGGTATTAAGTACAACAAATTATATTGTATTTAAGTTTGCACATTAACATTTTAAATACAAATATTAGAATTTTAACAAAATAATAATAATTACAAAAATATTAAAATAATAATTTAGCATAATTGCGATGAAAATATAATTTTAGCGATTGAATATTCATTGTAATTATGGCGACGAAAAGATTTTTTCCATCCAAAATGCGACGAACTCACGACAGTGATTAGTTACGTTATTATTTTACGACGAAATTTTGCAATGGAAAACAAATTTTGCGACGGAATATTTAGCGATGGAATTATTATGGAAATTTTTTTCGTCGTTTTCTTACGACGAATTTGTGTGACGGAAGACAAAATTTGCAACGAAAAAGTTTGCGATGGAATAGCAACGACAATTTGTTTCGTCATTTTTTTTACGACAAAATTTTATGACGGAATAAAAAATTTGCAACGGAAATGTTAGAGACGAATTTGCGACAATAATTATTTTCGTTGTTATATTTCACGACAGAAATATGCAACGGAATATGAGTTTTGTGACGGAATATTTTTTCACGCAATGGCGACAGAAAGAAACATTTCCGTTGCCAAAATCACGACGGACTCACGACGAAATGACTTCCGTCGCCTACTTCACGACGAACAATTCCGCCACCATTTTCCGTCGTCATCATTCGCGACGGATTATTTCCGTCACGAAATGAAATACGACAAACCTTGAGACTATGGAATGGATTCTGTCGCAAAACGTGATTTGCGACGGAATTTCGCGTTTTCGTGACTGAATTTTTCCGTTGCGAATCGCGATTTTTCTTGTAGTGTATGTTTACAGTATGTGAATGTGCACAAGTATGAGCTATGAGTTAAAGCTTGATTTTATGAAAATATAGGTTGTTGAGCATATAGAAGTGTACAAGTATATCTATTGAGATTTGTTGACTAAGTGTCTTGATTGCTTATATTTATAGTTGAGAATGTGTATGATTGCAAAACCTTTTCCAACCTATATCTATAGTACTTTACATGGTTGGATGGCTTTATACTTAGCATTATTTGCTAACGGTTTTATTTTCCTATGTGCTTTTATAACCCCTTTCAGGTGGACCCAGTGCTTGAGAGCGTTCGTGATAGAGTAGTGCGTAGCTCTAGATTCAGTAGTTATTAGTTCAGTGCCCACTCCCCTTATTAGCACTTTATTGTTAGTTGTAGTTGAATTACCTTGTTTTGATGGTTTGTAGACACCGGGGTTTGTTCCCCTCGTTATGATGTTTTATGGAGCTTTTGACTCTAGTTTTCAGTAGACCTTGTTAGCCTGTGCAGTTACCGTGAGTGGGTGATTGTGGCGGTAACTTTCCCCTTAGTTTACTGAATGGATTGTTATCTTAGTTTATTTAATTTACCCTTGTTTAATCATATTTAAGAATGATTATATTGGGTTTAGAGTTTTGAAAAAGGGGGTGTTACACCTATAGTCTCTACCCAGTGATAATAGGGTGTTCGAAATTTTGTCTTCCCCTCCAACGGAACCAAACGTCACCCTTATAAATAGTTTGTTCTCTCAAGGATGAAAAGGAAAACAATTGAACTCAACAAGTCTGAAATTCATCAAGTTACAAGTTCATCTAGTCCTCTTGAAAAGTTCAAAATATCCAGTGCGAGAAGAGAGAAAAAGTTTCATATTCTTTATCTAGATTTGAAGGAAGCTTGAACTGCATCATCAACTTCATCCAGTTCACGCCAAGTTTCTCAGTTTGAGGAAAAAGAAAATCATCACATTATCTTTCCTCTACTTGGATAAGTAGCTAAAGGCGGAGTAGACTGGAGATAGTTGAAAAACCTATATCTCAAGATTGTTTCCAGCTTTGTGTCAAGGAACAATCTTGGACTGTTATGTACTAATTAGTGATTAGTGTAAAAACCTTCATAAGTTGTGAAGAAGAGTGGAGTAGGCTTAATTAATAGCCGAACCACTATAAAAATCTCTCTCTCTCACACTCTCTCTCTTTTACTGTTATCTCTATCACGTGCTTCTCTCTCTCTCTCTCTCTCTCTCTCTCTCTCTCTCTCTCTCTCTCTCTCATTTACTGCTATCTCTATCACGTGCTTAAACCTAACTTTTTCAAGAACAAAACTTCGTGCTTAAAGTTAAAAAGGGAATAATTAATTTCCACTGCATAACTCTAAGTTTACTCTTGAAATAATTTTATTAAAAATTTTACAAGTCTATTACCCCCCTCCCATCTAGACTTGTACCCCTCATCCCTTCGGGACCAACATAAACTATTTAAGAGGTAGCACAGAAGAGTGTGGACATAAGCAGTATATATTGTTGGCCCAATTAATTAGCTCCTTGAATTAGAGAGTGGACCAAATCGACAAGAATAGCAAAGAAAGTGGTAGAGGTGTAGCAATCATTAGTGCATAGACCATGATCCACACAACACACATTTCTGTGAATTACGGTCCAAAAATACATAAAGTATATTATTTTAACTCATAAAATATATTATTCTAACATAAAGTATATTATTTTAACTTATAAAATACATTATTCTAACACATAAAGTACATTATAGAACTTATAAAATACATTATTTTATTCAAGAAATTTTATTATTGTAACACATATAATGTATATTATTCTAAACACATAAAGTAAATTATTTTAATTCATATAATAAATCATCTTACCCTAAAATATTTATTATTTTAACATACACAGATTAAAATATTTTTAAAAATATTTTTCAAACATCAAAATGACCTCGTTTTGAACCTTAGTCCACAAATTTGTGTGGAACACGGTCCGCACAATAATTTGCCAGAGGTGTAGAGGATAACGATAGGGAAAAGCGAAGAGCAGGCAGAAGAGAAGAGCGGGCACCTGTAGTCTTGCCTGTCTTGCACTTCCAAATCTCCACTATCGGCCACTGGCGTTTCCATAGCTGCAGTACGGCAGTACGGGCTTCCATAGTGGCACCGCACCGTGACACCAACTGCGACAAGACCGTCGTTTCCACAGCGGCACCGCACTCTGCGTCTCTGGTTTTCCCCTCATCTCATTGCTTGTTGCGTCTCTGGTTTTTCTCAGATTCGAAAAATTACCATTTTTTCTTGCTGTTTCTGCTTATACTTTACTTTGTTTATGCTTCTAGGCGTGGTTGCAATTGTAATATCCAAACTTCATTCTAAGTCGCAATCATTCAAACAAGCAACCTTCTAGTTTTGAAATTTTGGCATAATTAATACTTAATTAATCACCTTAGTACTGGGTGAACTCTAAGTTTAATGGTTTGGTGAGGATAATGATGGCTGTGGAGACTCAACTTCACACAAAGAAGTGAAGAATATCGGCCTTCTGCAGACTTCAGGTGCCCACCATGATATTTCTAACAAAGTGAATGAATTGTTCTCATTGACAAAAGAGTGTGCATTTTTTACAGCTCTTATTCTAATGCTTTTGTACAAAAATAAATAAATCATCAACTGTAATAACTTTCAAAACTCACTATCCATTTTAAGGTGTAAGACTACTGTCCCCTTGAAATTTGGATTTTGAATGGTTTTTGGTATTTGAAATTTGGATTTTGGATGGTTTGAACAGTAGTTTTATATTTTATTTTGGACTCTAGAGTTTTTTAGTTTATACTATTTATGTTTGAATCATCAGTTTATAATTTAATAGCAAATGTATGAAGATACAGTTCGAACTCGAGCTTAATTTGGGTCAACTGAATCGAGCTCGAGCATTATAAAAATTAGCAAGCTGAACTTGAGCCAAAATTTTAAAGCTTGATCAGCTCTAATTCAAACTCGTGCCACTATAAATATTTTGAGCTTGAGCTTGAGCTAGCCTAGGTTCAAGTTTGGCTCAGCTTATTTCCACCCATAGATTTCTGTTGCTAGATCAGAGGAATTGTTTAGCATCTAAAGCCATTGCTTTGTTTCACAGAGTTCTTATAGAGATGTTGGGATTTGAGAAGATCTAAAAATAGTTGATCCCTTTTAGTGATGATATTTCAAGTAGCATAGAATTTTTGTGGTTGATATTGTCGTTACGTAAGTAAATGGCTCTTGTTTAGAGTAAGACTCTGTTTTAGAGGTTAACTCTAATCACTAGATGCTGTTTGGTTTCACCATTTGGAGGATTTGTGTATGTTTTCTTGTTCTCTTTTGATGCTAGATAGGTTGATATCTCTACATTGCATTTTTCTGCCGGATAGATGTTCTAGACAAGTTTTTTATTAGGTTGCATCTTCTGACACTTATCAATAAATTTTACTTGTGAAAAAATGTTGGGTCACAATTTCCTCTATTTCGTAATTTCGTTTCCTAAACTTGTCTGAATTATTTTCAGGAAATATGGAAACTACAAGCAGCCACAGTTCTGGCGTTATGTGGTTCTTCAAAGATAGAGGTTTCGATGATAAAAGTATTCATGAAATGTTCCAGAAGTGCAAGCGTCTTGAGGGCATGCAGAGAGAAAATGCCTCGGAAAATTGGGATTACTTGAAAAGTATAGGCATCAAGGAGAGGAAACTTCCTTCCATTATTCGAAAGTGCCCCAAGATCCTTACTCTGGGCTTGCATGAGAAACTGGTTCCGATGGTCCAGTGTCTTGCAACATTGGGAACAAAACCTGATGAGGTAGCTTCTGCCATAACTAAATTTCCTCACATACTCTCTCACAGTGTTGAAGAGAAACTCTGCCCACTGCTTGCTTTCTTTGAAGCTCTTGGTATTACTGAGAAGCAAATTGGCAAGATGATACTGATAAACCCCAGAATTATCAGCTACAGCATTGACTCAAAGATTTCACAAATTGTGGATTTGCTTTCCAATCTGGGCCTATCCAAGGAAGGGATGGTTGGAAAAGTACTGGTGAAACACCCATTTATAATGGGTTATAGTGTCGATAAGAGGCTGCGTCCCACTTCCGACTTCTTGAAGTCGTTGGGTCTAACAGAACATGATCTGCAAAGAGTGATTATTAACTTCCCTGCAATTTTGTGCCGAGATGTGAATAAGATCTTGAAGCCCAATATCTCATACTTGAGATCATGCGGATTTGAAGCCAGTCAGATTGCAGCTTTAGTGACCCATTATCCCCCTGTTCTGATTAAGAGTATCAACAATTCTCTTCAGCCGCGGATTAGGTTTTTGGTAGATGTGATGGGCAGACGAATCGATGAGGTTGCAGATTATCCAGACTACTTTAGGCATGGCTTGAAGAAAACATTAGAATTGAGACAAAAACTTTTGACACAGAAGAACATAGACTGTAGCCTGAGTGAGATGCTGGACTGTAATGACAAGAAATTCCTTTCTAAGTTTGGTTTAGTTGAGTGATTTTCCCAGGCTACTTTTGCATGACCTATTTCTTCTTGTCATTTTTTAACCCGGTTGTACAATATCTGCTAGTATTTAATTTGTACTTGTCAAACAAAACCATTATGGATGAGGTTTCTGCATCAATTGTACATGCTGGAAGCTATTGTGACGGCCTGAAAACTTTGCTACATTTTTTTATTTACTTATTGTTGAGCTCTTAGGCTTGAGGTTATGTATCTGTTTAGTAAAAGTGTAGAACTTATCTGTGGTTTAGAATAAAATAGGCAGTAATCCACACAAGTATGTTAGTAATGTGATGTTTTTGGGGTGTAATAACTTCAATCCATTTGGATTCAAATTAGTTTCGAAAAGTTCTCTCAATGCTTTGTTGTATGACTAATACTATAGGAATTTTTAATTTTTATATCGTGCTTACATTTCAGACAATCAGCTATTCTATTCCAAATTTGAAATTTCAAAAAATTCAACATTCCAAGTCTAACACTCCATTACAAAATTCTCAGTTTCAAAAAAAAAAAAAAAAAAAAAAAAAAGTCAAACATAACAAAAAAAGAGAAAATTTCAATTTTGGTCACACGACTATAGGGGCTTTGTTAATTTCAACACCTAATTTTTAAAAGTGTCAATTTTGTACCTTGAGTATGTAATTTTTGTCAATTTTGGTCATTCTGGCCAAATTTGGCCGGAAAAATTTAATCCAACATTTAATTTTAAATCTGAGAGGCAAAATCGTATTTTCTATCCTTTCTCCTAATTAAGTTGACCGGATTAAGTTGTTGACCCGGTTCAGCGACAAAGACTCCTATTGTTTGAAGAAGCTTTCCTCAACATTGCGCCGTGTGTTAACAACTGCGGCATTACCGAAAATCTTGCCACCAACAATCTCTGCCAGAAATGCTTCAACGCCGTCTCCACCTCTGTTTCCGCCTCAACGGCGACAATTCCTCATAAATTCTTCAACAAATCTCCTAGATCTATCATCCGGAGGTCGTCTCCGGAAACAACGCCAGAGGATTGGAGGTTAGCAGGCGGTGATGAAGCCAAGGTCAATAGCTCGCCAGTTCCACCTAGGAGAGAGGTGAGCCAGTGTTCTGGTTGCCGGAGAAAGGTAGGATTGACCGGATTCCAATGCCGTTGCGGCGAACACCGGTACTCTAACCGACACGACTGCAGCTACGACTACAAAGCTGCTAGCCGAGAGGCGATCGCCCGAGAGAATGCAATCGTGAAGGCCGCTAAGATCATCAAACTTTAAACTGGAAAAATAACAAACACCCATCTATGCAAAATATGAGGAGGTTGCTGTTATTCGAAGGAATTATCTCGCTCAACGAAGGAGTCTTTGTTGCTGAATCGGGTCAACAACTTAATTCGGTCAACTGAATTAGGAGAAAGGATGGAGAAGACGATTTTGTCCCTCAAATTTAAGACTAAATGTTTGATTAAAATTTTACGGCCAAATTTGGCCGGAGTGATCAAAATTGATAAAAATTACATACTCAAGGTACTAAATTGACGCTTTTGAAAGTTAAGGTATTGAAATTAACAAAGCCCCTATAATTGTGTGATTAAATTTTCTCTAACAAAAAATGTCATACAAAATATCAAAACCATTCATAATCAATAAACACTATCAATCCATAAAGTGATCAAAGCCATTCCTCATTCTCGTAATCTCGTTCGTCATTCATCTATAACGTGTATAGAAAAAATAAATTAGTAAAACATTAAATCAAAATACAAATATTAAAAATTCAAATTTAATAAGTTATTAATTATCTAAGTACCTTTAATTCCTTTTAAACTTGAAAGTGCAATAATTAATCAATCAATCAATCAAGCCTTGTTATTAATGAAGTCGTCATTTTCAATATCTTGACCATCTACATACAATTTATATATATATAAAAAAATCATTATTGATGGGGTGAGAATTCCGTGGGCTCGGGGCCCAAGAAGAAAAGAGATCAAGCCCAGAAGAAGAGAAGCCCAAGAAGAAAATGGAGCAAGCCCAAAAATAGATATGGGCCAAACCGATGGGTCGGCTCAACCCGGAGGTCGGCACGGATATAAGGTCGGCCTAAACTAGCCGTTAACCCATATTAATCTCCTATTTACTACCCTATTTATCTACCTCATCCTAACCCCCAAAATAATTACCCCATTGATTATCTTATTTCTAATTTCTATAACCAACCCACTAATGACCAAATCAATATCCATCAATACCATACTAAATGGTCCAATGGACACTATTTGGTTGGCTAGCTATAAGAAGGAGAAGAAGAGCACAAGGAAGGGGGCCATTCATTCATCCACACATGGGAGGACTCTCCCAAGCACTATTCCTACACACTAGAAGATCACTTACTATTCTTTTCCCATAGAAAGACATGTCACTCTCCCACAACCACTCATCTAAGCAAGAAGACCACATGAAGAAGACTCCATATGAGAAGACTCTATCACTCTTTCACGCATGAAGAAAACTCCCTCTCAATGTACAAAGTATAGTAGCTCTATCTCTACACAACATCACATACACAAAATAGCTCTACAATATGTACAAAGACACCTCCAAAATACATAGTGAATTTAGGCTTGGCACCGCCCAAAAAGGCCCGTGATTTTCACCTTTCCGTTTCCACGTACAAAAGCATTGAGTTATATTTTTTCTACTTATTTTTCTATAAGCCGCATTGTGAATGGTGAATCCACCAACCACGGTTGTGTTGGACCTCCGAGGGCCCAAAAATCCTAAAACCAACACCGACGCCGTCTGTGGGGACATGACAAAAGGTCACGTTTACCTCTTTGTCTGAGCAATTTCGGAGAGCGTCCGGTGGAAAGGATTCACTACGGACGGAAGATTGAGAAAGTTCGCGGAGAACCGTGGACCAAGAAGAGGACTAGAGGAGAATCAAGTAAAGAAGACTGCGTGTCGAGGTCTACAAGAGGTAACCATTATCATTTAAAATAGATGTAGTATTTAAATTAAAGTACTCAAAGTTGTTGGCAAAGAGTGGTCGGTCCATCACACTGAGGGACTCGGCCGGGGGAATTAAGAAGTCGGGGTGCCAAATAAATGGTTCCCCCACCACGACTTTAACGGAAGACACCGTGGTCACAATTGTTTTCTCCATTTTTCTCTTGATTATATTGAGCTAGACAAGTAATATGTTGTTAAAAGAGGCTTGTGAAGGGACTCTCCAGTATATATCCCAACTGGATGTCTCCAGTTCCAAGAAATGGAATTCCTTAAACCGATATCAGCATCCGATATCAGCATCTGGGCATGTTTCACGATAGGCTGCACAAGTGTCCAAGAGCTCGTGCAGGTTCCGCACAAAATTTGAATTTGCAACGCTGGGTTGCATGAGCGTGCATGTGCTCTTGCATCCTCTTCTAGAAAGTTGTACCGGAGGGTGCACGAGCGTGCAAGCTCTTGTGCAAAAATTTCTAGAAACGTGTTCCCCAGCTTCCATAAGCATGCATCCCTTCGTGTAAAATTGGGTAGAAAGTTGTACTGCCACTCTCACGCTTGTGGTCCAAATTGTCCCAAGAATTCTAGAAAGTTGTACCAAGGTTTCCACGAGCGTGCATCCCTTCTGATGCATATTATATTTTTAAACAAATAATACTCGGAGTATGAGTTATCGAGCCACAGGGAAGTGGTTGTATCAAGCACTAGTTACTAATTTATTCATTAGAGCTAATCCTAACAATTGATTGGATGATTGGTTGCATAAAATAAATAAAACAGAGATTCAGGATTTTGAAAACAATAGAGAGAAGATGAGATTCATAGGATTCAAGTGTCTAATAACCTAGTGCGAAATCTTAAGGACAAAATTAAAATCTGGGTTTAACAAGTGTGAGGATGCAAGGTGGTATAGAGCTACTCTCGTAGTCACTAACACTAGTGAATTTCCACTCGTGGCTTAAACACCCAATAAAACAAGATCAAGCATCATAAATTCATAACTACTACCATCTCTCGATGCGCAATAATAAAAAATTAAATCCCCCTAATAAATTATCATTTCTCAATGTGCAACAATTAGGTGCAATTGTGTGTGCCTTAAGTTATGTCCAACTCTCGCTGTGACACAAACAAAGCTATGAAGCAAGTAATTAGTAATTTTCTTATTTTATTTTAGAAGTTGCCGCCTTTCAATTTAGAATATTTTCTAACTTTTGATTTTGGAGAATAAAGCTTTGGAAATTGCCACCCTTGAAATTCAGCGCCCATCATGCAGATTTTTGAAATTGATGATTAATGCATGCCAATTTGAAGTTGATTAGCGTCGCTTGACTTCTTCGTTTTGCAATTCAGCGTCGCGACTTCAACGCGTCGAGCAATCACGACTTCCTCCAAAATAAATGCTACGGCATTTTTTCGACGCGTCGTGTTCCGGACTCCACGCGTAGAATCTTCTAGCCTCTAATTTAATTATTTTTTGCTTCAAACTCGCCCAAGAATTTCCCTTACTCATAGAATTGACCTACAATGATTCAAAAACACTAACAAACACCGTAAAACATTCAAAATAAGTGTGAATCATAACTAAATAATAAAATAAAGGATTATGCAATTAAATCACCAAAATCATGAAATTGAACCCAACAAATATAATTGAATCAATAATAAAAATGTGTACAATTGGACTCACATCACCTTCGTACAAATTTGGGCCGAAAGTTGTACCAAGGCTGCCACGCACGTGGTCCCCTTGGTGTAATCTCTCCCCCTTCAATGCTTCCAAAAGTGATCCTCCCAAGCAATCTTGTGACTTCTTCTGGTACAAAATGGATCCAAAAACACCAAACAAAACATAAAAGTGACCAAAAGCAAGAAAATTACCTTGGGTTGCCTCCTAAGTAACGCTACATTGTATGTCTTTAGCCCGACGCAATCAACACTTCTCAAGCAAACAATCAGCCCCCATTTGGATGAAAACACTTCGTAGGCATCCAATTTCTCTTCGATTGGTCCCAAAAGTAATCAATAAGGTGGAGGTGAAAGTCTGGAAAGAGCAAGGGGTAGTGGGGGGGGGGGGGTGTTGAATAGACTAATGAGTGCGCTGCGGAATGGTTTAGGTAAGTAGCGAAGTTTTGAAGACATATATATATATATATATATATATATATATATATATATATATATATATATATATATATATATATATATATATATATATATATATTAAGTGTAATCAGCTAGTGTGTGAGACAGATAGCTGAGTGAGTGTGATGAATGAGCTGTAAAGTAAA